GGTCCTAGACCAACACCAGGTTAGGTCCCAGACCATACTGTGCCAGGAAACCCGGGGGTTCTCCCCGGCACCACCCTGTTGAATCCACATGTCTCTTGGCATCATGGCTCCCCAGATTAGCTAATTACTCAGCCAGGGGCGTCCCATTACACCCATGTGGTCGCACTTGTCTTATGTTCGGATGAAATTCCAAGGAAAAAGGTCCTTAAGTGCAAGAGTGGGAAACCGTACTCCCGGTACGTTCCCCGGTCCGCGATTTTGGAAATTCATTTAGTTCGCAAGCACTGACCCAGGTGTCGGGTTTTCCAAGTCTTTTATAAAACCCCAAGTTTTACCCATCGTTGGATATTTAAATTTTAGGGGAGGTGTTCCAATGCGCGTGCCCGAAGGCTCGTGCATCGAAGCACAACAGTCGACAAAGGAGGTTTGAGTGTTCAATAATTCAAGGAGGGTAATTGCAGCTATTAGGATTAGGGCCGGCAGGTTATCTCGCAAGCCGCGCCCGATTTACTTGTGTAAATCCTATTGATGTAATATTTGCGAAAAAGAAATACTTAAATTTAAATTATAGGTGCAAGATGATCAAAGGTGACTTGCCTTGCTCAAGATCTTCACGAAGCTTCACGAATCTTTGAGAAAACCCGCGATCGACGAAAATCCGGTAACCACGACCATACGCAAACAATCAAAAACCTAAACAAGGACCAAAAGAGAAATCCTATTTAGGCTAATTAATAGTGCCATTAAATAGATCTCAACTTTAGAGAATTACTGGAAGTGGAACGGAGTCAATCGGAGTTACGGATCGGGAGATATGAATTTTGGAAGTTTAAGTGGAATTTCTGGGCGAAGGAAGATATTTGTGGAACAAGGGGGAAATTGATTTATTAAATCCCTTGGAAAAGAAAAGGAAGGAGGGATGTGATTTAGACTTCCTAGGGCGGCTTGGGCGCGGCCCGAGAGGAGAGGCACGGCTCGGCCGAACTAATGGGCCGGCCGGCGCGAGGAGGCGGCCCATTAGGGGCGCGCGGAAGAGAGGGAGCGGTCCGGTGGACCGGGTGCACCTCGCGGGGTCCCGGGTGGAGCCCACATGTCGGCGGCAAGGTTCACGGTGGGGAGAGCGCACGCGGGTGCGGTGCTAGGGTTTGGTGGGTGCGGTGTGTGGGCGGTGTGCCGGGTGGATCAGATGGCGGCGGGCCCACATGCAGCTGGTTGGCGCACCGTGGACCGCGCGCGCGCAGGTGGGGAAGGGAGGCGGCGGCTGACTAGGTACTTGACCCGGTCGCGGCCGATGTGGCCCCGACGTGGCGCCTTCGTGGCAGCCACGCGGGCTGGCGAGAGGAGGAAGAAGGAGACCGGCCGAGACGGACGGCGGACGGCGGTGGTTTCACCGGGGGTACAAAGCGACGATTCGAGAGGGAGGGAGTACACCGGAACTATGGGACGGACGAGAGGAAGTGAGCCACTGGCTCGGATTCGCCGGAGAGAGGCCGGCGACGACAAATCGCGGCGGCGCACGCCGGCGGTGAGAAAAGGGGAAAACGGCGGAGGGGCGACGAGGATTCAATTCAAGGAGGAGGGAGCATCTCTGGGGTTCAAGGAGTCCATTTCCGGCGTCGGATAAGGCAGAGCGACGCCGTGGAGGGCTAGCGACGACGGCGGCCTCCGGGAGCGGGCGGCAATGGCGGCAAGGCCATGCCGCTCGGCGGCGGGGCTTGGGGCTTCGTCTACGCGTGTTCGAGAGGCTAGCCGAGCTACCACGCGAGCTGGAGGTGGCGAGAGAGAGCGAGGAAGGGGAACGGAAGGCTATCGCGTCAGGACGGGCGCTGGGAGATGGCCAACGGCGCAGGGCGGGCTCTCCGGCCTCGGGCCAGGGAAGGGGAAGAAGGAGGGTGCCCGGAGTCCTCTTCGGCTCCTCGCGCGCACGCCGGCTTCACCAGCACGTGCGGCGGCGAAGGGAGGCGAGGTCGGCAGCTGCAACGCGGTAACAATGGCGCGGTAGCGGTGGAAGAGAGATGCCGAGAGAGAATGAGATGGGGAGGCTCGGCCTGGGCTTTATAGATGGAGGAGAGGTGGTTTGGGAGGGGGAACCGACATAGGGCGGTCAAGGGCGCAAGGACCGCGTGTGGAGAGCATGGTTCCTCAGGAACGATATGATCGATGGAAAGGGGACAGCCACAATTGCAGAGTCTGTAAGTTTCCTCGTCAACTATGAGAAGGTACAGTTGCCGATCCGACAACAAAGCGATGACATCAAAGGAAAAGGATTAATGTATGATGAACCAATGGAGAAATTAGTGCAGGTTTAGACAACCAATCAGGTTGATAAATGGCACGCCCCTCCCGAAGGTTCAGCAAAGGTAAATGTGGATGCTGGTTTTATAGAAGACACAGGAGTTTCAGCTGCTGGAATCATCATTACGGACTGCAGGGGTTTAGTGCTGTTTGCTGCGCAAAAAACTCTGAAATCCTGTGCTACTGCTGTCCAAGCTGAGGCATTGGCATGTCTAGAAGGATTAAGGGCAGCCATGGAATGGATTCATATGCCAATAATCTTGGAAACTGACAACATAGAGGTGTTCAAGGCTCTGTCACAACAGGAGCTGTCAAGATCACCCTGGGCAGCGACAATAAAGGAAGCGAGAGGGATGATGTAGTGTCTCCAAAGTGTGCAGGTTTGCAAGATCAAGAGGGAAGCAAATAGGATTGCTCATGCTCTCAAATGGCTATGAGGTCTAGATCGTGTGTGGAGTGGTAGTTGTGTGCTCCCGCAGGAATCTTAGACTTGATAGACCAAGAATGTAATCCTCTCTTCCGTAATCAATAAAATTCCCTCTTTGAAGTCAAAAAAAAAGTTGGGCTTAAATTAGAAATACATAAAAAATAGGCTTAGCTTCAAATACGCATGTAGGTTTTCTTTAAAAAGAAGTTGTATTTTTTTGGCCAAAGATGTGCTTGATACTGTTATCATGGGCTCGATGACTTTGATGTTTGAACGGCTGAAGATAAAGGCTGGAATTTTCATGGACTCCAAAAGGCATGTGGGATTTGCTGGGATGCATGCGCGCAGGCCTTTTCTTGTGGTTGTTTCCTGATCACACGGAAGAAAAAAGAGCAAGGATTCCGGTCTCTCCTCAGGCGCGAGCGATCACTCGGGCATCAAGGGACACCCTCTCTCCCACTTGATGCTGCTCAACTCATGTGACTGACTGACTGGATTAAAAAAAAAAAAACTCAAGTGACTACAGTTTGCTCAGGAGGAAAATAAAAACTCGTAGCCTATCAAGGTAGTGGCTACTCTCCAGTTATGTATTATTGAGAAACGCCCATGGTCTTTTGGCTAATTCCACGAGGGACGGGCTAGATGACCTGGGTTTCAAAGTCTCACTCCTTCTAATTACTTAATATTAGATCCTTTTCTAATATTAGCGTCTTTTTTAGTTAGATAATTATTGACGTTTTGAACAACAACAAGGTCTTCAAGCATATCTTTGACTATAATTTTCTATTACGATATAATATACAATACAACATTAAATATTACTCCCCCTCCTAAATTATAAGGTTTATAGTGTTTTTACACAGTCTTTAATGACATACTTTGACCATTAATATATTCCATATTATGTTCTCAACAAATGTGAAATTAGCATTACATAAAAGTTACTTTAAAATATTTAATCTAGTGATATAATATGCATAATATTTAGCATATATATAATTTGTATGACTATTGATCAAAAGTTCCCGAGTTTGGTTTTTCTTAAAAGAGGACGTCCTAAATTAATTTAGGATGGAGGGAGAGTAATTAACTTTTGTTATAATACCTTTTAAGAATAATCTATTGTTCTAGTGGTTTTAAACTAAATACTTTAAAGTTATTGATAGTTAAAGTTGTAAAAGTTTAATCACAACCTTGATCAAAACGTAACCGGACTAGTTTTGAAGAAACATAAAGCCCATACATAAAAGTTTGGCGTTTCCCGTACTCGAAATGCAAGCGTGTACCACTGCCAGTCGAGAGTTCAGGATCAATCTGAACAGGGACAAGAATCAAGAATGGAGACGGAAAGTAGCAACCAAAACAGCCTAGAGCATATATTTTTATGGACGTGGGGAGATTCGCTGTGAGCTATAGGTTATATCCTACAAGATATGGCCTTTTTCTACATCAGAACGGAATGTTGCCGAGATAGTGAGATGTATGAGAAAGGTTTTGTGTCAAGAATCCAAAGAACGGCTGCTAGCCTTCGTGCATTCTGCACACCACTGTTGATCATGGCAGAAATATATGCAGCATTACTGCCTACTGCCATTCTGCGAATGCAACTATACAGCCCAATATTCACGACTTCATTCTGACCAGCGACAACACGAAAAAAAAGAACTCGTAGAGTGTGTTTAGTTCATGCTAAAATTGGAAGTTTAATTGAAATTGGAACAATGTGACGGAAAAGTTGGAAGTTTGTGTGTGTAGGAAAGTTTTGATGTGATGAAAAAATTAGAAGTTTGAAGAAAAAATTTGGAACTAAACTCGGCTATAATTTCAAGGCAAGAACTCCCGGAAAAACGGATTGTCTGGTCGAATTTCACGGAAGATACTCACAGAATTTCATAGCTCCTTTGATTCCACCAGGATGAACACCTCCGAAAACAAAAAAACAACAACAAGAAGAAACCTTTCATTTCATTGAGCAATCAGAATCGAAGCAGACATTCATGCTTACCTTTCATACAAGCATACAGCCTAGTGTTCAAAGCTTCAAAGAGTTTGCGCCAAATTGACCTTTCATTCAAGAACGAGAGAGATCTGAGTGGGCCTCTAATTTGGAACCACCAATCCAAGCTCCAGTGCTCCCATGGTCAGAATCAGTGGAACACTGAGCATGCACTATATGAGTGTGACTAATGTTATTAAGATGTTGTAGCACTTCCCGAATTGTACGACATGGTGTTTCAACCTTATGATTTGTGAATATGACAGAGTAGGCAACATAAGCTAAGAGAACAAATGCATAAGTATTTGTATTTCAACCTTATTTTTGATTTATTTATACTTGGGAAGCGCATATATTGGGCAGCAGCAAGCCCAATCAAGAAGCATTACATATAATCACGAAAACAAGCTTGTGTATATACCAATGTTACACAATCATCATATATGAGTGCACAAGTCCCACGGTAGAATTGCTCCATTGCCGAGTATAGGACTAGTAGTGCCCACCACCTCCTCCGGATCCATACCCGTAGCCAGAGCCAGAACCATAGCCAGATCCTCCGCCTTGGCCGCCGCCGCCTCCACCACCACCACCGCTTCCATATCCTCCACCATAAGCACCGCCACCTTGACCATATCCGCTGCCAGATCCATAGCCTGAGCCGCTACCATACCCACCACCTTGACCGCCGCCGCCACCACCACCATGTCCACCTCCACCACCACTAGCACCACCTGCACCTGATCCATATCCAGAGCCATAACCCTCACCTGAGCCATACCCAGATCCTGCACCACCACCTCCGCCACCTCCACCGCTTCCATAACCACCAGCTCCAAAAGCACCAGAGCCATATCCTGATCCAGAACCTTGTCCAGAACCATACCCGGAGCCAGAACCACCACCTTCACCACCGCCGCCGCCTCCACCACCACCATGGCCATACCCACCAGCGCCAGCACCACCTCCCTCGCCATACCCCGATCCAGAGCCGTACCCTGATCCACCATAACCACCTCCTCCGCCGCTACCACCTCCTCCTCCACCACCGCCACCTTCTCCTCCAATGCCATAACCCAAGAGAGTTCTAGCACTAGTGGTCATTCCTATGCTAAGGAGGACAAGGATTATTAGCAACACAAAATGCTTGGTGGTAGCCATCTTTACTTGCAAGCTCTAGCTACTTCAGTGCAAGTAGTGCAGCTGTGTGATGAGAGTGAGGAGATGGCCATTGGTACTTATAGGGCTTGCTCTAGTGCTTTTTGCATGGCTTGATCCACCAGTAGCTCACTGAATGGTCCAGAGCTAAAGACCACAACAATGCAGCACGTAGATAGCACACAAGAGTTTGGACGCGTTTGGTGTGAAATGAGGACCAGTAGTGTGTTGTAGTGCTAGTGGTTATCGCCTTTCTTGACGTTTTAGAGGGCGGTGTGTGATGTTACTTGTGTTGGGTTTGGTTTGCTTTATGCTTTCTTTCTTTTTTTTTTCTTGCTTTTCTGGAACCAAATAATTGGTGTATGATCAGTGTATCTCAGTGGATGCCATACACTACCATACACACATTCACACCCAGCTAGCTAGTCAGCTGATGATCATTAGTCACTCGATTCAGTTATTAGCTTCACACTGGCAACATGATTAACTGGCCTCGCACTTAGTGTCATTGCGCAAATTGATACAGAGTACTAATCGCCTTGATAATGAACTGAAACAGGTATATGATGCCTCTGTAAATTTGTAAACTAAAACTGAAGAAGTTCTAATTTTGTTACTTAATTTCAACTACAATGTTTTCCATTAGAAGAATAAGAGAAATGCTTGGATGGATCATCAATCATAAATAACCAACACGGATAATAAGTACACTAGCAAGGTACAATATATTAAGTAGAGACGGTCACATTACTAAGTACTTCCTTCGTTTCTAAATATTTAACACCGTTGACTTTTTAACACATCTTTAACCATTCGTCTTTTTTAAAAAAATTTGTGAAATATGTAAAACTATATGTATACATAAAAGTATATTTAACAATAAATCAAATGATAGAAAAATAATTAACAATTACTTATTTTTTTAATAAGACGAACGATCAAACATGTTTAAAAAAAGTCAACGATGTCAAATATTTAGAAACAAAGAGATCAGTAATAGCAGTCGTCAAGCCGCCAGACAAACTGCATGTTACATCGTCTGACAAATTGCGTTACATGCCTCCCAGGAAACAAATTCAGAATTGGATTGGGAGAGTGGTCGAGCAACGATAATTTGTAAAGAAAGAGAAGATAAGTCTTAGACAAAGAACACGTGCATCTACTAGCTGATAGCCATGGACTGACTGCTGTGTTGTCTGATTGTTACAAATATCAGTTTTGTCTTTTGAGTGACCGGCGGTACAAGTAACAATGAAAAAAAAAATTACAGTTGTACAGGAGAAAACGCATAAGAGAAAACGAAGGAAGCTGCCAAGAATGACAGTGGAACGCAGCACTGGTGACCTGCATTACCCGCATATCTTGCGACTGAAAGAACTGGACCTGAAATAAGGTGTGACTCGCTATGACGCTATATGCATTTGACCGTTCTCTTGCGACTGCAAACCACACGGTTAGAAATTAATTACTTTAATCTATAACGTAGGGATGAACTAGATCTAGATGTTTATACACTCATTTTTACCATTAGTTAACCTCGATCACACTGTGTAGGCGTGTAGCAGAGCAGATTATTATTACACACCTAAATTGGAATCTGGAGGAGATCAGTTCACAATGGTGATGCCACACTAATAGAGATCATAGCCAGAGGAGAAAATATGCAAATTTCATGACACACCCGATGTACCAAATAAACATGCAGAAACGAAGTTCCGAGAAATCAGCCGATCGATACCCTTCATGCTCTGGATCTTGTGTTGAACGTACGTGTTACAGATATTTAAACGACTAACTGAACGTACGTAGAGTTAGAGATCGATATACTTCTACTAGCTAGAGGAGTAGTTAGTTTTGAGTTTGTTTCTACCAAACTCGTTTGTACTTTGTACTACAAATATCACTGATCAAAGTTATTACTCAAGCGGTCTTTCCCCAAAACCAGAGTATGCATAGCTAATCACCAAGTTTTTCAAAATGGTGCTGACCAATTGAAACTTTATCTGGGTAGTTTCATTACAATCTGCAGCAATATTTTTTTAACACCGTGTAAGCGAACATGTTGGAATCTAGAAATGCTAGCTAGCAGCCCTACTGAGAACAAGTCCAGTTTACAACTCAAGATCACCGAGAGTTAACAAGTCCATTCTGCATGCTTACTATGTAAACAACTAGCTAGGACAAGGGTTAAATCTATGTTCTTGCATATCAATCTTAGTGAACATCAGCTCCGTGAATAACAGAAGTATGATCTGAGTACAAAAGGTCGTTTTATTTACTAGGCTTTGCCAACTTTATGTGATGAAACGGCAAGCCAGTACACAGTGCTATATCGATACAATCCGACAAGCTCTTTGTAAAGCAGCGAGAGAGACTCATCACTGATCACGGTTCACTTATAACAACAGGCTATATTGTAGCTAGCTGATAGAGGAAATGAGCTTAGTGGTGTCCGTTGCCTCCGCCAGAGCCAGAGCCATATCCAGAGCCAGAGCCAGAGCCGGAGCCTCCACCTTGGCCTCCACCGCCACCGCCACCGCCACCACTTCCATAACCACCACCATGAGCACCACCAGCACCCGACCCATAGCCGGAACCATAGCCAGACCCTTGCCCGTAGCCGCCAGCACCACCACCTTGGCCACCACCACCTCCGCCACCACTACCATACCCGCCAGCACCACCAACACCTGCACCATAGCCAGAGCCTTGCCCAGACCCATAGCCAGAGCCGGAGCCACCACCCTCACCACCACCGCCGCCGCCGCCTCCACCACGCCCATACCCGCCACCGGCAGCACCTCCACTACCACCTCCCTCACCATACCCAGAACCAGAACCATAGCCCGATCCACCGTAACCACCACCGCCTCCTTCACCACCACCACCACCTCCACCTCCTCCTCCGGGGCCATAACCTAGGAGGGTTCTTGCACTGGTGGTCATACCAATGCTAAGGAGGACAAGGATGGCAAGAGCCAAATGCTTAGTAGTAGCCATCTTGACACTGATGAGCTGCGTTGCTACTTCAGTGAGCTGGGTAGTGTGGTTGGAGTGAAGGGGAGCTGGGGTATTTATAGGGTGCATCTCGTGTATGGCTATCTCATCAGATGTTCATCAGTCTGCATGGTCCAAAACTAGAGACGTTAGAGCTTTTGGACTTTGGACACAGTATATGGGTGTGAAATGATGACCAGGAGAGTTCATGGAGAGTGCCAGTAGCTGTTGTCCTTTAATTCTTTTTGACACTTGGAGAGCGGTGTGGTGATGTTACTGATTTATTTTTAGAATACTGATTTATTGTTTTTGCTTTGTGTGTGTGTGTTTACTTTTGCTTTTGCTTTTATGTAAGCAGAGATAGAATTATTCGATCGGTTTGCTATTGTATTCTGTCCATACTTCAAGGTCATCTGAGGCTGTTTTCATGAGAGCGACTCCGGCCGGTTTTGGCGAATGGGATCAATCGAATCCGTTGGCTGCTAATTAAGCAATTAGGCATGGTATAGTTAATCAATTAATTAGCATACATTGACGTGCTTAATGTGATCCATGTGCTGGTTCAGTGATGTGTGGCAGATGCACTTATATCTGCTCATCACATATCTGTACTAGTAGACGTGGATCTGATTTCTAGTTGGAGCCTAGTGAGATGGTTTAATTAATTACTACGTACTATATATGAGGCCAAGTATCAAACTAAACAGTTAATTAAATTTGTGCAATAATAAAATTGCATGGTAAGTTATTATCTCAGTTATTCTTTTTCATCCCTAGATCGGCATTTCTTACTACTTACCAGTATTGTGTTACATGTATACATGATCTGATTCCGACTTAAATGCAGCATTTTAAACCGATCTAGACCTACATGTTAAGTGAGCCTGGCGACATACTTCCTCCGTTTCATAATGCAAGTCTTTTTTAGCATATTACCCATATTCATACAGATATTAATAAATCTAGACATATATGTGCATCTAGATTCATTAACATCTATATAAATATGAGCAATGCTAGAAAGTCTTACATTATGAAACGGAGGGAATAATATATATACTAGTCAAATAAAAATGCATCATTGAACCAGCAAACTATCTAATCCCTTGAGGGAATGTTCTTTTATTTTTTACATGTCATTCAAATAATTAGAAAAAATAAATAAAATTAATGAAATAGATTATTATATGATATATCACTCTAGAAATTAACATTCAACACCAAATTTAACTTCTATAAATTATAAAAAAAACAAATATAAATATGAGTATGCATAATAGTTAGTTTAATTTGTTATTTAGTTACATGTTTGTGAAATGATATATCATATATAGATTAATCTATCATATTATTTTTTTTATAATCATTTGAATGTCAAGTAATAAACGAGGGGATATTCATTTGATCAATTAGAATATAAAATTCAGTACTTATGCTCCTAAGGTACCCGCCTTTTTTCATGAAGTTCACAAATTGCCCATTCAAAAGGGGGGCGTAATTACTGAAATTTATTTTAAGCATGCCACCCAAATATCTGTATCTAGAACAACAATTATTGTTCCCTTTGTTCCGTATCGTAAGTTGTTTTAGTGTTTTAGTTTTTTCTTAAGTCAAAATTCTTTAACTTTAAGTTTATAAAAAAACACTAACATTTATGAATTTGTATCCTATTTGATTTTATTATAAGGACCTAATATATCTATCCTGTTTGATTTTATAATAAAGTATGAAATTTTCACAATGTATAAATACGAGAGAATGGTAATATAGTCATTTCGGGGAACATAAATCAAATGAACACAAGAGAGTCACGAAGTGAGCGTATCATAACTAGGGTTTGAAATTTCGGTTCGAAATTTCCGAAATTTCGAACCCCACCGGCAAGCTCACATCTCACCCGAAATTTTCTTCTTTTTTTTGTAATTTTTTGTGAATTTGGTTAAATTTTATTCAAATTCATTCAAAATCAGTCAAATTTTCAAATAATTTCAGCCAAAAAAATTATGAAATTACCGGTCCCCATCGGCAAGAAAACAAATTCTGAAACTTCAAACCCTAATGGTAACTAGTCAAGTTTCTGATGGTGGAACTTTTCAACTTGGCTAAAAGTCCTAGACTTAATTAGTATATATGGATGTTAGCATTTTATGCCTAGTTTTTTTTTTCAGTGGTAGGCAATAGGTTAATCTCAAGATAAGCCGGTTCCGTATTCGAAAGTACTCATAAAGTAGGGTGTGTGTGCGTGTTCATACGGGTAAGTATACACGCGTTTTTATGTAAGCACTTGCATTTGTATTGCCTTTATAAAGAAAGAAAGAAAGCTTAGGAGCGTAAGGAATTTTCATTTTAATACGAAAATAAAAATAGCTAAAAAATGATCATGACCTAACGGTTTTAATTTGCAGATAAGAAGAGGCAAAGAAAGTCAGCGTCGACATCACACAGCTATGGCTAGGCTACCTTGAATTAGGGCATGTTCACTTTGATGCCAAAAAAAACCTTACCAAATTTTGGCATTGCCAAATTTTGGTATAGTTGCCAAAATTTTAGCAAACTTGCCAAAATTTTGATAGGATTTCTTATATAGTTACCAAAATTTGGTAGCACACTAAATGTAGCCACTTTTTTGGCAACTTTACCAAAATTTGGTAAGGTTGAAAATGGTATTAAAGTGAACAGACCCTTAGTCTACACAGAGATATATCATCAAGGAGAGAACCTTTTTATTTCTGGATGCCAAGACAATCGCTGGCCATCATGTCCTGAGAAGAACACTAGTACACTGCTACTCGGGCTGTGTTTAGATCCAAAGTTTAAATCTAAACTTCAGTCCTTTTTCATCACGTCAACCTATCATACACACACAATTTTTCAGTCACATCATTTTTAATTTCAACCAAAATTTAAATTTTGCGCTGAACTAGACACAGCCTCGATCGATCGCTTGTGCCGACTACAGCTGGATGTGTACTGTGTCTGTGAGCGCTCGTCTCGATCGCTTACTTCCAAGTCGCCGCGAGCAGATGGATGCGATTTCCACGCGTACGTCGCCCGTCTCCACCAAATAATTTGACGCTATCTGTGCAAGTCATTGGCGTTCTTGACAGGATGGACTCGCTGGGTGTCGATGCTGTGCCAACTAACGTGCTACAGTGAAATTAACCTTTTGGAAGCACCGAGAAGGCCATCAGAAGAGATGATAAAGTAATAAATTAAGGTCCTATTTCGAAAGTTTTTAGCCGTGCAGTAGATTTTCTTAGAATTTTCAGCTATCCTAAATAGTCAAGATTCTCATATATACTTTAAATTTCTATCGCTATAGGATCTAGAAGCTAGGAAACCCAGATTTTTCATATGTAGTTTAAACGTTTCTCAGAATTTTAAGGTGTCGAAACAGAAAAAAAAAACTCACAATTACCTTCATCAAATCACAGGACTTTCATTGAAATTATTAATCTTGAAACTTGTTTTAAACAGTGTTTACGGTGTTGATTCCCATGGAACATTCGTGAATTAATCCACCTTAAAATGTAATAGGTTGGTTTAAGATATTATGAAAATGGAATGGAACCAATTGACATGGATTAATTATCTGAATCCTGTTGAAATGGGATAAGGCACTTATGCATGCTCCTGACTTGGCTCTTTAATTTTTTTTTTAAATCGCAACATGCTCAAGTTGATGAACTGAGAAACGGGCGTGGAACAATTATCCGATTGATGCACTGAGCGATAGCTTTTAGATACGGACGCCGAATTATTTATTTAGAATTTACCTACAAATGCGTCCATGCGGGATTACATCACTGAAAATAATCGTCATTTGCAACGAACTACGAGGATCACATGGATGTAAAAATGAAAAACCAAATAGAATGCAATCCAGCAAGGATATAATGCTACATGACGCTAAATTAATATCTGGGTGCTAGTGACAGATTTCACTAGCTAGCTAATTAATTAAGATGGATATATCTGCAGACTAATAATTAATTAATTGACAGTGTGATAGTTTTGGTGTAAAGTTACAATTAACGATGGTACTTTTTTTGTTAATTCTGTTGGCCAAGCATGATTGCAACGGTTAATCAAAGTTCTTCATCAGCGCCACTAGTACATCAACACCTTGATCTCAAATCACTCTGCAATGTGTAGGCTACTTTTTTTCTCTCCCATGCTTTTCGTGCCGTTTAGTTAATTATTTTTTCTTTTTTCCCTTAACTAGCACGAGGTAAAATCCGGAGTATATATGTACCACGTGTCACATGGACAAGGGCTAGATCTAATTAGGATCTGTGGGATTTACTTCAGTTTTTTTTTTTTGCTGTCTTCTGAAATACACACGGACCGTTAATTATTTTAATGTATTCATTTCTAATGGAGAGATATTACTTTATACAAAACGATCTCGCCCTTAGGCCACCCTGCAATATTTAAATTCGAATAAATTTTGACTAAATTAAAACATATTCCATGAAATTTAAAACTTGTGCCAAATTACGAAATGAGAATTGAGGAAAAAATGAAACAAATTGAACAAATATTCGTGAAATTTAAATTTTTGTACCTTGTCTAATTTCCACATTTGGAGGCGGTTTTTGAATTTTGAAAATAAGTTTAAATTCAGCAAATGTATATTGATTTGTTTATATCCAAATCTTACATGATGCCCAAGGATAGAACCGTTGTTTGTAAAGTTTATCTCTTCATTGGAAAATATATATACTACAATAATGGTTGAAGTGTAGTACTCCCTCCTTCCCTAAATGTTTGACGCCGTTGACTTTTTTAAACATGTTTGACCGTTCGTCTAATTCAAAAAATTTTGTGAAATATGTAAAACTATATGTATACATAAAAGTATATTTAACAATGAATCAAATGGTAGGAAAAGAATTAATAATTACTTAAATTTTTTGAATAAGACGAACGGTCAAACATGTTTAAAAAAATCAACAGCGTCAAACATTTAGGGATGGAGGGAGCACATTTTAGCCAACAACCACAAAAATGTCCTAAGCCAAAACCATAAAAGGGTGTCATATGTAGCAAACAAGTGTGTATCCGAGCAAATTTTACCATATGTTTGCTTATGCTTATACTTATCAGCCAAAAATTAAATTTTCAACCTTAAATTTAGAACTGATTTTGAGGGTTTTTTTTATCGAAGTTTATTTTTTAACCTTTGCTTTTAAATTGTTAAGAACACGT